AGTCACCATAAGGAACATAAGTTAAATCAGTGTAATTTAAAAATGTCTGTTGTCTTTACAGATATCCGTTTGAGCCTCCAAAAGTGAAGTTCCTGACCCCCATATACCACCCTAACATTGACAGCGGGGGTAGGATATGTCTAGACACACTCAAGATGCCTCCAAAGGTTAGAACATTAAGGTCTAAAAATTGTTACATGCTTAAATTATTTTGTTGAACTTCAACGCCTGTCCACTCCTGCTTAAAAAGTGAGAGATGCATGGTGATGAGGGTGTCTGTTTGTTTTTCTGTTACACTTGGAGGTACCCACCCCTTATCCTCAACTCCTCTTTCACCACTGAATAGAGTTATAAATAAAACTTGCACAAAATCATTATTACATAGTGCCATAGTGCATCTACTATCATTTTGATAGGACACAAATTTGGGGATTCCTGTACATACAAAACATTGCCATTCTTTTTATAATATTCAGGGTAAACCATCTCTTGTCCACAACAATTTAATTTTATATACTATTTAATAAAGTTTAAAATGACTTTCACAGAAATTACATAGTGCCATTAAGACCTCCTATTTTACATTTTGATCAGACATTTATCTGGGGTTTCACAAAGTAAAAGGTGAACATTACCATTCTTGGTACAGTACTTCACTAAGATTGAATGGTAACAATACTCCAGCATGTTAAGTGCAAGTATTTTAAGAATATTTTAAGAATGCCAAAAAAAAAAAAAAAAAAAAAATTGTGAAATTAAAATGGCCAATAGAAAGCGGTAGTTCTGTTTTGATAAGGTTCTGATCTTTGGTTTATTATCTGGTACAGGGAGCCTGGAAGCCGTGTCTGAATGTGTCCACTGTGTTGACCAGCGTCCAGCTGTTAATGGCGGAGCCTAACCCCGAAGATCCACTCATGACAGATATAGTATGTCTAATATCATTAATTAGCTTTTGTTAACAAAAGATGGGGAGGAGGGGACCTCTACAATGTGTAGGGTGTGTCAAGTCCCTTGTAAAATTTTGTATTAAATTTGCAAGCTTTATTGGAGCAGAGCTCAGTTTCCGATATTTGAATTTTTCAGTCCAATGAGTATCAGTACAATAGGGCAGCGTACATCCAGACCGCCAAGGATTGGACGAGAAAACACGCCATGGAGGATGTCATACAGGTGAGGGGTTATTTACAAGCCAGAATGTGTGGGGCGGGTCCTCTCAGTATGGGGACCAGTCCAGTTAGGTCATGATAATCTGACATCAATTATCCATGACAAGATCATCAATAAGGCAGGAGCTGTTTTATAGGATGATGCTCCTACTTTTAAGACCAACTACACTTTCTTGCTCACCCGAGCCAAAGGCTCAAATGAGCTTTTTTGATCAAAATTTGTTCATTTTTAGCTCACCTGAGCTGAAAGCTCAAGTGAGCTTTTCTGATCACATTTTGTCCCGTCCGTCTGTCTGTAAACTTCTCACATTTTTGACTTCTTCTCAAGAACCGCTGGGCCAATTTCAACCAAACTTGCCACAAAGTATCCTTGGGTGAAGGGGATTCAAGTTTGTTCAAATGAAGGGCCACGCCCTCATTCAAGGGGAGATAATTTGGAATAAATGAAAATTTGGTGGCATATTTTAAAAATCTTCTTCTCAAGAACCACTGTGCCAGGAAAGATGAAACTTATGGAGAAACATCCTCAGGTAGTGTAGAGTCAAGTTTGTTCAAATCATGACCCCCGGGGATAGGGCGGGGCCAAAATGGCCGACCAAAGTTTTACATAGAAATATATAGGAAAATTCTTTAAAAATCTTCTTCTCAAGAATGACAAAGCCGTAATTCATCATATTTATATGGAAGCATGCTCAGGTAGTGTAGATTCAAATTTGTTCAAATCATGACCCCCGGGGATAGGGCGGGGCCAAAATGCCCGACCAAAGTTTTACATAGAAATATATAGGAAAATTCTTTAAAAATCTTCTTCTCAAGAATGACAAAGCCATATTTCATCATATTTATATGGAAGCATGCTCAGGTAGTGTGGATTCAAGTTTGTTCAAATCATGACCCACGGGGAGAAGGCGGGGCCAAAATGGCCGACCCAAAGTTTTCAAAGATATATATAGGAAAATTCTTTAAAAATCATTTTCTAAAAAATAGCAAATCCATGATTGGTCATGGGACTACTTTTGGATTTAAACTTTACAATAAAAAAACCATTTTCTACTTTTTCCTACCCTTAGTGCTCAGGTGAGCGATGTGGCCCATGGGCCTCTTGTTTGTCTATGTCAGCATTTTTGTTGGCATAGTAAACTTTTTACAATTTCATCTTCTCCTCCTACTGGATGCGATATTGAAGTACTAAACTATGAGAAAATGAGAGCGGAACATTTTTTTTTGATTGGTTGCTGCATTACTAGATAGAATGTTCTATCGTTGAAATGATAAATGTCCTACGGACCCGGTTTAACGATAGAATTCCTTCCGTGTATTCTCAATGTAGCAAAGTAAACACGGGCGATAACTCGTACTACCTGGTAAGTGCATTTACTATGAACAACTAAGAGAGTTCCGAACGTTAATGGCATGTAAATTTGAAGCGAGAAAAAACGTTGAGAAAATAAGTTGAATTTCCGTCTTTATTTTTGGATTATATTTTAGGTTTAACTACTTACGCAACCCCAAAAAAGGTTTGTTATAATTAATTTGGAAGTTACAGGGATTTTCAGTGCAAATCCCTTTGAATTCTTCAAAATCGTTTCGCAGCAATTCTGCAATTTTTTGCTGCATTGCGAGTGTATGGGAGGTATTCTAACTGTAGTGAGGGCTTGTCCCGAGACACAGTTAGATTATTCTAACTACTGCATTACCAACTTTTTATTTTATCAAAATTACTATAAATCAAAGTACTGAAAGTACTGAAAAGCGGTTAGCATGCTTTCATCTAATATGTACCGAAAAAGTGCATAAAATGATGATATTTAAGTATGCATATCTTTGTCCAATGTCATCAGAGAAGAAAAACCCAGACATTCTGTTTTTGTAATACTTTACTCAATAGTAAAACCAATAACATTCCAAACTGATGTCACAGATGGATGCAATCTAATTAAAATTAGATGTTCCGAATCCGCTACTGCTTCTCAAACATCTAACAACATCCTATTTGGGGTCATGTAAGAGTGAATCTTCGATTAGGCAAAGAAAATGGTTCCTCCGAAATCCTGGCTAATAGTTCAGATGGGTTTCTTGTTTTCACCACCCAACCAAAACACCCGAGGAGTTTTGTAGTAAAAAGATATGCATTGCAAAAGTTGTGTTATGTATGACGTGTGGGATATCTTGTATAGTTTGTGCTCTTTCGTTTGCATTATTCACGTTTAGATGCCAGACTGTAGAAGATACATGAAATTTATTCCAAAATTACTTTAATTCAACGTAAGACAGTATCATTAATGATGATATGTAGCCGTGGAATTAATTTGAGAACTGTTTACCGAGGCTTGAATCTACATGGCCAAAGTGTTTGTGTTTACTTGTACATGTATTCATAATTGAAAGGTCGCTCTGATGTGACCCCGAATGGGATGTTAGATGTTTCAGAAGGGTAGCGGATTTGGAACATTTAAATAAATTTTAATAAGATTGAAATGCATGTTTCAAAATTTAAACATGAGATTTCTTCAGTTTGAAAGACAGGAAGTGCATTTTTAAAAATTCTCTCTTGATGGCATCCAATTGTTATGGATAAAAAAAATTATGTTGATGTTGAAAATTTCATTGTCTTTTATTCTCTATTGAATCTGAAATTAGGTAATTGTAAAGCCTACTATAACAAACAACTAAAAAAATGACAAGTTAAATTCTTTAGATTAATGGATTTGGAGTAGTGTAGATCTACAGCTGGCTAGTCAGAGAAAAAAGGATGGCTGAGGAGAGACTTTGTAAATGAATTGATATCAGAGAGATTCAGTTGTGTAGGCTCATCGCGGCAATATAATTAACCTGTCAACGAGGGATGCTTACTTTTTCTAGGCAACGGATCCCACCTCTTGAACTTTCAGGAGTCAGCTTTTCTTCTAAAATCGATCATTGATCATTCTGTATTTTGATACAGATACTGAATACTTCCTTTAGTAATATTATAAACTACTACTTCTACGGGAAGACTGGCGAGTAAACAAGATTATCAAGCTTTATGAAATATATTTTATTGACTTTTCAAACAAGTAAATGTTCGAATAAAGTAAATGGTATATGAGAATCATTTGAAAGAAGTCTTGCACAATATAAGGCACAATATCTAGATAAGGACATATAAGGTGTTTTTATCATATACTCTTCATGCAATATTGTTCTCAAATAAAACATAAAAAGGAAAGTTGTGTAATCAATCAATACTAGTATTTAAAAATTCAAATGTACATTAAAAATCAGTGTAACTTAAGAAGTTATCAGTGTCACTTTCTTCAATATGTCGGTTAAACAATATACACTGATTTCTTTTCTATCAATGTGCCTCTAAACACCTATATTTTAATTTTATTCTTCTCAAACGTTTAAAACAATAATCGACAAATTGGACAAATTCAAATTTTAAAAGTATTTTCACAGCTAATAATACGTTCCCTAGGAATTGATCAAATTTTCAAAACTTATAAATAAGCATTAAGTATATATTTTAAATTTTTGCTAATTGCCAAAATTTTTCATACCCCATTCTTCTGTGAAAATAATATCGGTTGATTTTTAGAAGGGGATCACAATGCTGATTAAAATTAATATATATTTTTCCATTTTTTTTTCAAAATTGATTTTACTACTTTAAGTGCTCCATTATTTTTTACAAAAACTAATAGTAAGTAATCCCTTATGATCGATTGTTATAAATTATCAAAGACGGAGTAGAGAATTCATCCCTGGGAGCAGAGCTTTTATAATCTGTTTATTAGACAGAGAAGAAAAGAGAAGAAAAACAAACGTTTCATAGTGGAGGTAACCCTATTGTTTCCATAAAACGTTACAAAAAGTGTAAAACTTACAGATGCGTTCGGTGTTTTTATAAAAGCGCTTTTCAGGTATTAAATTAATAAATGGTGTTTCTTAATACTTTGGCAAGGAAAATCAAACTCGATCGAGAGATTTGCTGATGTTTTTACAGTCTGTAATAACCTCAAACCTGCAGTATAATAAGCATTCAAAAATAAACTAACAGTTGCCAGAAATCGCGATCGCGCGATACACATGTAATTAGGACCAAATTCTCAGTTCTTAAAAGTAAGTGTTGTAAGTATTGTCAATGCTTTGGTAAATATACTAATAAGAATTCGATATAATCGTTATAATAGCCACTCTTCATACACAGCATACACTTCGTTAGTACGAAGTGATATACTAAGTAGTAGGGGCTGGCTTTAGTCAGACTTCACAGCATATTGTCAATCTCTAACCAGGGGGCGTATTACGCCGACAGTATACAAATCATTTGCTGAAGTTACTGTTGTCGATAGGTAGGTCCTTATGGAAGTTTCCGGTTTTGGTTGCAGAAGGATAAGGTTACGAGCGATAAAGCGATGCCGATAGGTAGCGCCTTATGGAGGTTTCCGGTTGCCGACACATGCCATATAGCGGCTAGCGAAGCTAACCGCTTAAAAACATGGTTCATTTTAAATTTGCCTTTTTGGCCCTGTGAATTTCTGAAAAACTGAAACTGCTTAGTTTTAGTTAACAATGCATTGAATATCAGTTAGATCTTAACACTTTGGTGATTGCGTATCTATCAAAAATGACGTAATTTTCTTGCTTGTCAATGCATCATGATGTCACGAAGTGCGTCAATTTCCTGATGTTCGGAAAAGATATACAGTGGAGCCTCATTTATCCGGACGCTTTGGTTCCCAAGCAAATTGTCCGGATAAGTGAAGCGTCCGGATATCTGAATTCTATTGATTTCTATTCCAGGTATTCTGTATTTGTATTGTAACTCTTTTATGTTTAATAGAAAGATTAATGCTATCATATAGAAATAATAATTTATTATTTTATAGACTATACCTTTAAGCTGGCGGAAATGCCGACTCGCGCTCTCTTTGCCGGCGGTGTAGACATAGTTGAAGCTGGAGAGCAGAATGACCAGCATTGGATATAACGCTGCTTATATGGGCAGATTTTTAATTA